GTTGCTTTGGGCGTGTCGGTTGCGGGATCTCGGCGTTGAGGACGAGCAAGATGGAGTACTTTAAACACTGCGCATATAGCAATTTTAGATACATTGACATCATCTTCTACACTGCGGGCGAGATGTGGTCGTCTTCGTGTCCTGTATTCCGTTATCAGCGGTGGATTAAGCACGCCGACTTGTTCTTCTTGTTCACCGCGATCCTGCAACGGAGCCACTGCGAATTTCACACTTTTCGGCGCGCTAGTGCCCGCGCGGGCATTCATGCTTGTCGGCGGGCCTTTTTTTTAAAAGTTATTAAGGATAGCAGCGTATAACTTATTAAACTTAGCTCTATTACTATAAATACAATGCCTAGTAACTATAGTGTCCTATAGTAACTAGAGGAAAGCTAGAAGGCTAGTAAAGTTATAATAGTGCTAGGGAAGTAGGGTAGCTATAAGCATAATATACTATAGAGCGCGTAGACTATATATAGCGTATAAGGAACAAGACTAGATACCTATTAAAGTGTTAGTTAAATAGCTAAGGGGTAGATAAAAGAGAGGTTCCTACAAGGGCAACGAGTGGGGGGCTTTTCACGAGGGCAACTAACAGGGCTAGAGGGGGGCTTTTTATAAGGGCAACAGTTACCCTTATAAAAAGACCCCCTAAGACCCTACCTATTACTCCTATAGAATAATATAGAGAAATATACCTTTTATATTTTACGCTTTATTTAAATAAATCTTAGAAAATAACTTATTAAGTTTAAATAAGGGCTGCTATACTAAGTCTCCCTTCTACCTTACTAACTTAAACTAATTTAGGTAGGCCTTTTGCTTTATTAAGCTAGTTTTACGTAAATATCTAATAATAGTAGTAGGACTATAATAAATATAGAATATTAGATATACGCATATAATAAAGACCTAGCTATTTAATTTGTTTTTTAGGTTAAAGAATAGACTATCCTATGTAAGTTGTTTAATAATACGTGTAATACTAGCTAGATCTAAGTTAGAACGCGCACTATAAATATAGACCTTAAAGACACTAGAAAAGTTAGCTAAGGCACTTGCTATCTAGGTAATAAGATATAGTTAGGTAAGCATTAAATGCGGCTTAGGCGCTAGGTAACTCTCTAATGCCTTAATATTGCTAGCCTGTATTATAGTTAAGAGGTTAAGTTTACATTAGTTAATTTACTATCTTACTATTAGCTATAGGTAATAGGGATAAGGCCTAGGTTTCCCTATAGGTAATAAGAATACTTATAATAAGGCACTGTGTAGTATATATATTAGTTTTCCTAATACTAACTTTATTAGTATAGATAATACCCTAAGGCACTCCCTTTTTAGACTTTGTAAGCGCGTTTAGGTTATTAGCTTTAATTAGCTTTATTAATTATAATGCGCGCAAGGCATCTACTACCTCTCTCCTCTTTACACCCTTAGTAGCACTAGTAGTCTGCCACTACAGTATTAAGTGCCTATTAGGGTTCTATCTAGGGATCCTTAGTACTTTATAATACGCAATTTAATAGATGTTTAATACCTTCTTATAGTCTTTAGGCTAGTAGGTAGAGTTATCTATTAAGTAGATAGTAGTTTTAATATTAAGTTGCAGGCTAGGATTATTAATATTAGAAGAATAGATATTAGCACTATCTTTAGCTTTATCTAACTACTTATTACCCTACGCACTTAGCTTAATTCCCTTATAAGCCTTATCTATTAGAAGCTATATTAAAAATAATAGTTCCTCTACTACTTTAACGCTTACACGTGCCTTTACCTTATTCTAGCTAGTTACTTTACGCATGTTAATAAGACAGGACATGCGCTAGGCTATAGTTAATTTGCTAAGTTCTGCGGCTACCTAGTTAGCCTTTATAATCTCTAGCAATAGCTATTCTTTGTCCTTATCTTCCTTGCTAGTGTTCTTGTTAAGGGAAGCGGCGCTAAGGCCTTTAGTAATTTTAGCAGCACTTAGCCTACTAGTAATAATTAGAGCTTTATATTAGGTATTATAACTACTAATAGTAAATATAGGATTACTAAGGTACAAATACTAATAGGTATTATAGGAAAAGTATATTAATTTAAAATCTAGAAGTTTATCTATATAGTGCTTAGTAACTCTAATTAGTAATCCTTAGAAGAACTATAATATATATAGGTTACTATTATCCTTTGTATACTTAGAGGTTATATAGTTAATTTAAGTTAAACCTTTAGACTTAGCTATTATATTAGCAAGACTAGTATTAGGAGGGTGTACAAGCTTAATTATATCTAGATCTAAATTACTATAAGGACTTAACTATTTTATATTAGTAAGGCTACTAGTAGTAGTATTATATTGTAGTTTTAACTCTATTAAGAGCCTCTTCTTTTCTATAGCATTAATATTATCTCTTTCTTTTAAGTCTATATACTTACCCTCTATATCCTACGCTTCTATAGCTAATAATATCTCTAGTTACGTCTTCTTAAGTTTAGCATGCTTACGTTAAAGACGTTAGGTTTTATAATTATACTTTGCTACTACTATAAGGCGAGCCTTATTATAGCTAGACTATTTTTGTAAGGGTAATAAGGGCGTACTAGTAGTATTAGCATCTTTAGCTAACTATTAGGCAGCTTTAACAGTCCTACTCTGCCTAGTAACATGCTTTAACTTGCGTTTAGTATTAATAGCAAATAGCCTAGTCTTCTTTTAGTTATATAGTTTAAGTAGGGCATTAACGCAGTCTATATATAGGGCTAGAGGGATTAGATAGCTACTAAAGGGAGTATTACTAGCCTAGAACTAAATATTAGTAAAGCAATTGTATGCAATCGCATAGATGTTATTAATATTAAATAGTAGATTACTACGTATATCCTGTAAAGACATGTTAAAGAGGTCTCTACTAGCAGTATTAAGATAAGTAATAGCTATAAGTATATATAGTAGTTTAGGGCGCAGTTATTTCTCTAGCTTATGCCTCTTATAGAATTTATAATAGGTCTTATTAAAGTTAAGAATATCTATTATAACGCGTGTGGTTTTAATAAAATAGTAGAAGTCCTTAGGCTTTAAATAGCTAAAACTTTAACTAATATCTTTAGTAGAGTAGACGTAAGTAATATATATAGTTTTAAGTTTAGGGAAGATAGTGTTAATATTAGGGATTTCCTTATATTAATCTTTATAAGGTTATGCTTCTATAATAAAGGTAGCCTTGTACTCTTATACCTAAGTAGCTAAGGCGTTGTTATCCTTAAAAGTCTTATTATCTATGTTACTTAGAGGGTCTATTACAATGTTATAGGGTAGTGTGGTAGCTATAGCTAAGCTAATCTATAAGTATTGTTAGTAACATGTATAGTATAATAGTATAGGGCTGTTTTTATAAGGGTAACTAGGTATAGAGACTAGGGTTATTTTTATAAGGGTAACTAGGTATAGGAAAGGGGGTTATTTTTATAAGGGTAACTAGGTCCCTATAGGCAAGGGGGTTATTTTTATAAGGGCAACTATTGCCCTTGTAAAAAGGCCCCTACTAGACCCTGTAGTGTTGCCCTTAGGAAAAGACCTATCCTTATAAGTGTTTTTGCTGCCCTTATAAAAAGTGTTATTAGTAATTAATTTATGCTAGCTAGTTTAAGTTTTAGTTATTACCCTAAAACTAAAGCGTTCTTCCTAATTCCCGCTTAAGAGTAGTAGTAGTAGGTAAGTAGGTTACTTACATCTAATAGGTCCTATGTAAGGGAATTACTAGGGGGGGAGGCTTTTACTAAGGGCAACAAATATCTAATATTAGGGTGGTAGGTAGGTAGTAGGTAGTAGCTAGGTTAAGTCTGCTACTAGCTTAAAGGACTACTAACTAATTAGCTTTGCGCGCGCAATTAACGCGCTAATAGACTTGCCTATTACTAGTATTAGTATCTAACTACTAGTATTAAAGATTAGTAGTAATAGGTAGGGCAGTAATAGGGTATAAGTAGTAGCTTAGCTAAGTTTGCTACTAGCTATAAACACTACTAAACTATTAGCTTTGCACGCGTAATTAACGCGCAAATAGACTTACCTATTACTTGTACTAATTGCTAATATAGTGTTTATAGTAGGTGGTAGTAGTAGGTAGGTAGGTAGGTAGTAGTAGGTAGGTGGGTAGTTAGCGTGGTTAGGTTATTAGTGTAGTAGAGGAGAAGGTTTTTAAAAAAGATTTAGATTAAATATTTTTGTTAAGATCGGGACTAGCGCTGTTTACTAGCGCTAGCGTTAGGTAACGTTGTTGCCCACGCGAAAACACTGCCCCCCCCCCTCCTCCCCCCTTTAATTTCTATTAACTAACGCTCCTATACTCTAGGGTAAAGGATATAGACTTAATAAATTAAGTGCCTAGTAGTAATCTAGACACTAATTAGCTTTCACGCAATAGTTAGTCTTTAATAATACAAATAACTTTTAATACTTAAATTAAGACTTTAGGTTACAAAAAATATAGGTTATAGATTTTAGATATTAACGCCTAAGGATATTACTTACAAAGACACTATCCTTAGCTAAGAGGGCAATTATATAAGGGCAACTAGTTACCCTTATAGAAATAGCCCCCCCTATACCTTTTACCCACGTTCTAACGTAGTTACTTTCCTACCTACCTTTGTAGTTAATAGGTATATCTATATAATCCAATTCACGTCTATAATAATATATAAGATAGGTTATATAAAGCCTACGCTTATAGATTATTAAAAGTATGCTATAAAGTTAGCTTCCTCTTCCCTATTAAGAAGTCTATTACTCTACTCCCTAATCTAGTCTAACTATTATAATTTTATCTTACTAGAGAACTCCTATAGACAGGCCTATATATTAAGGAATACTTATAGATACGTGTAGGGTTTATTGCGCTTAGGCTAAGTAAGCGTCTTCCCTATCTCTTAATTTAACTACTTTATATATATAGCAAATAGCAAAGCGCAATAAAAGTAGGACCCTATAGGAAGCTTGCCCTTTATCTACTACCTTTAGTATTCTCCTACTAGGTCGCTAAGATATAGTGTGCACTTACTTTATAGATAGTTAAAATCTTCTCTATCTATAAAGCACTTCACGCAATTATCTATCTACTACTATCTAGTTTCCTTAAGCTCCTCTTGTTTAATCCTAGCACCTTCTTTATTCTATACTATAATACTTTGCTAGTTCTACTTTAATATCTAATTAACTCTTGCCTTCTTAATTATTACTGTTGTTGTTAAGTCTGTAGTCTCTAGGGTAGTAGGAG